AATCACAAAGCCAAACATACCTGACTGGTTTTAAACCTTACTTTGCTATGTCTTAGTTTACAAGCCACCCTGACATTTATTTAAAGATGCCACTCATCATGAAAGAAATACCTAAATTTGTGAAGCTGAAACAGATTTTATACACCTAATTTTAAAAGAAAGTGACATGTTATCCACACATATTAGCATAAGAACAAGATTCCAAGGAGAATGTATTTTTGCATGGAAAACTATCCTCTCCTCAAACATATTGAGTATTACTTCTATAAATAATAAGTGCTTCCCACTAACATAAAAAAGCCACAATTCTAGGTGACAAGTAACAAAGCAACTATAAGAAAGACAGAATATTCCTGATAATGGCTGGGACCAGCCACAATCAACAATGTGGTAAGAACCTGATAGACTGAATAATATTGATTAGATCTAGTTAGCAGTACAGTAATAACGGACTTGGGAAAGCTCAGCTTCAGAGAAGGTGATCTTTTAAAAGAAAAGGAATATTCATTCTCATTAATATTATTATCAATATTTATTCTAAAATACAAAATTAAACTCTACTCCATTCCCAGACATTCAGTGTCTTTCCAGGTTTCTAGGTATTTGGTACGTAGATGAAGTGTCAGAGGTAAGATGTTGAAATTGAAATCTAACACAAGAATAGTGAAGTGATATCAGGCTTTTATAATGGCAGTAGCATGCTCTAGTGGGGTGGCTGAAAAATATATTAGGGCATTGAGTATTGTCAGCAGGGACCCAGACAGAGTCAACCCAGAGGTTGAGTTTGACACTCATTATCAAGAATGAAGTTTCTAAAATATGAGATACCTTATGTAAAGTCTTTATGACATGTCTCTTCAGTACATTAAGACATTTGAACAGATGTCATTTGGTACTGAAAAGAGAGGATTCATTTCTCTATAGGAAACAGATTCCTATCTCTAAGGATTTTAAAAAAATAATAATCTCAACTAACCAATATGAAGAAAACTGTATTATAAGCTTTATATAAAACCACAACCCATTTCTGAGTTAAGGGTATTCAAGGAATATATTGTCCTTTAAAATGAGATATGAAATTATTATTAATACATAAGGCTAAAATTACTTCTGAAATGTATTTCCAACTGGGTAAAAAAAAAATACAGTTTTCTCCATCCAAAAATTATGAAACCAATAAGAGACTTATTCCCCTCAAATTATAGAAACGGGGCAGGGAAGGGGAGGGGTGCAGAGGGGGATTGTAAATTAGGCTCATAATGGGATGGGACTCCAGTTGCAACTGTAAGTATGACGCTGTATCAAGCAACTTAACAGCATTCCTGTTTTAATAATACAATAGTTATGCAGTGGAAATAATGATATATGCCCTGATTATGAAATATATAGTACATAGTTGAGGCCATAAGACCCTGGGGCTCCACACAGGTGGAGCAGTAAATTTGACATAAATTTTAGGGTATTGACCATGCACAGTAATATTACCACAAACACCAACAATGCATCAAGGTAGAACGTAAAGGTGAGAAAAGTAGTATTCTAGAGAGTTTATAGTCTGATGCTGCTGCTTTAAAGGTTCGTTGTTCTAAATATGAGACAAATATGGGGTAGAGCTAGGAAATGGATAAACGTACATTTGTACCTGCTTCAAAAGGGGATGGGGAGCTGCAGCTTGGTAGAATTTAGCAGCTGTTAGGTAGGGCTGGGCAAAGTTTCGATCACTGATTCGATTCAGCGGAGATTCGACCCGATTCAGCGGCTGAATCTCCAAATCCAAGTCGAATCAGGAGACCCTTTAATCTCTCCAAATCGAATCGGAACTGTCTGAATTGATTTGGAGAGATTCGATGATTGCTGCGATTGCTGCAATGCTGCTGTTCATAGCCACAGCTTTTTTTCTACATACTTCAAGGTACCAGGCGGCTCATGAATGTTGAGATTCTGGGGCAGATGGAGCATCCCCAGCATGCTCAGCAGTGGACCCAAGTGGACCAGAAGCATTTCTGGTCTACTTCCAGGTCTGCTAGGGAGCACATGGCAGACCCCTCCCGCTCACTGACTGGTGCCTCCTGGGTCTGGAGAGGCACGTGGGGTCCCCCCACGGCTGATCGCCAAGCCAGAAGTACTTCTGGTCCACTTCCAGGTCCGCCACTGAGCATGCGGGGGGGGGGGAGCACGCTCCTGTGGGACACTCTATCTGCCCCAGCATCGCAGCATTCACGAGCTGCCCCTGCTACCTCGAGGTTTGTAGAAAAAATATTTAAAGCTGTGTCTATGGCTGAATCACTGATTGTCTGAATCAGCACTGAATCTTCAGATTCAGATTCAGCTGAATCAAAATCGGGACAGTGATCCAAATCAACGACTTGAATCACTGTCCCTGATCTGGGCTGAATCCGAAACTGAATCGAATACATCCCGTTTTGCACACCCCTGCTGTTAGGCTGTTATTATCAAGTCTGGCTGAGCTTACAGGCCAAATACAGACATTACACTTTTACCAGTATACGTGATCAGAAACCTGTCTGTACCCATAACAGAACAGAAGTTTGTCACACAAAATCAGTCTATACCCATAATGGAACACAAGTTTGGCACACCAACTGATTTAAAAATGGTGGAACCTGATCTAAGATTTGTTCCCTCACCAAAGGGCAAATGTGTATTCTGTTCATTAGCAATCTAAACCACACCACTTACAGAAAACTGCATAACTTAGATTGATTCCGCCTCAAGCTTTTTGAATGTCTTTATCTAGCCATAGTGACACAAATGACTCTGGCTGGGGTCATCTGAACCCAGCCCTCTTTCCTGCCTATGCAGGGGGTCGGACTCGATGATCTGTTGAGGTCTGTTCTAGCCCTAACAACTATGAATCTATGAATCTGTAAAATAAGTAAATCTGGCCTAACTTTTACCCTGGATGAGACAGGGTTGATGCTGGAGCAGTTTTAATAGAAGTGTATATCTACAGGGTCATGCAGATAAAAACTGATGCACAGTCCCAAGGAGCAGCTCTCCCTCACATTTCGAAATAGCTGCCAATTTACGTTTTTCCATAGCCCTATCAGTGAAAAGGGCAACAAGCAGCTCACAAAACTATGCATGCTTCCAAATGCCTGGTAAGAAATTGTCATTAAACATTTCACTATTGATGACCATGCTCAATTACCAATACTTCTCTGTGTACCATGTCATAAAATGTAATCTACAAAAAAGTCATTGTACCCTATGAACATCTACAACCCTAACTCATGACGAATAGAATTTAATTTGTGCAACTACTGTCATGAACATCAGTAGAACAAATGACTGAACTCAATATGAAAACAAGACTGAAACACTGGCCCTTTTCTCTTTAACATTTCACCAAAACTCCACTGAGATTTTTTTCCCTGCTATCTAGAGATTAAAATTTAGGAAAACATCATCACGTAAACACAGTAATACCTCAGTCTCCCTAGTTCAAAAAGTAGTTTAAACCTGTTATCAATCATCCAGCAATCGTTCTAAGTTTAGTATTATCGGTGGAATATAACCATTTGAAATGGAGACACTTACAAAAATATATGTATTGGGTTGACAGAGTATATGCTTTATACAATATGTGCTTAGACTAGCCAAAGCAAAAGTGAAAAACAGCTTGAAAAATGACAGCGCTGATGCAAAGTACTCAACAGGTACTTCTTCACCTAATGTTTACTGGGTTATAAGAAGACAATATTAATATTTATTTTTCTGTCTTTCCACTAAAAATTCCTATCTTTCTCTCAGCCACCACTAGCCTATTCTAGTTATCATTAAAAAAATCCACAAAACTGGTTTTCCAAAAAAACAACCCACATTAATTGTGTAAATATAGAAAAATGTATTGTGTGATTTTTTTTTCCCCCCACGGAGAAAAAGGAAGATGCTACATTCATAAAGAGAGGTAATGTATCTGTTGAAGAGAGCAAAGCACTGGAAATGAGAAAAACCTGAATTTTCTTCCCTTGACTTTCAGTATATCCCTTGGCAAGTTAATTTCAGCATTGAAAAGTGTTATATATCTGCAGATTATTATTATAGTTATTGTTATTATGCAATGGAGTTAATATACATTTATTAAACTATAAATTTATCACAGTTCTATAGTAAATATTAACAGATTTCTAATATCAAAGTTTGATGCAAGTATTTGCAGGGTTTTTACACTTTCCTTTGTCTACATCTTTTTTTATCTGAATACATCTGCCTTCCAGTATCAAGTATATGAATATCTATCTGTTAATAAAGTATGACTTCTGACGAATCTGACAAGAAATTAATACAAAATCCAAATGATGCTTGTATATTTCACCTCCATTCACAGTGAGGAAATTAAATTATCCACATAGTTGTTTCAAATGTCTTAAGTCTTTAAAACCCTTCTGAATTCTAGAGGCATTTTTCTGTGTAAGCCAGAATATTCATACAGTTAGAAAACAGAAGTAACATGTTGCCACAGGCTCTCATGCTTAGTTTGAAATTTAACCAGTTAAAGACCTATGCTACTCTATAACCACGAACACTTAAAAAAAACCCTAATGCATCATTTTGATTTTATTTTACCCTTATTTCAACATTCCATTTCAGGTACAAGGCATTAACGTAACAACAAAGAAAGAATATCCATAATGGAACCCATGAGAGTAACTGAAATAAGCTCTGATTATGAAAATAAAGATACCTAAACTAACACTTCCCATCTAACAACAATAGACTACAATATGTTCTATATCTAAATATTGAATGTGAAGCATGCAGGTTGACTTTAATCCACCCAGAATAAAAAAGATAGCAAGATTAATGGAGAAACTGACTAATACATCTAATAATAAACACTGAAATGCACTCATAAAGAAACATGCATGCAGCCTTAGAAATTAAAATGAAAATATTGAGACTAATTGTGAGTGAGAAATAAATAAAACTCATGTTTATTTACACATTGTTTAGGTAGGAGGAAAAACATTGCTCACCTTGACACATTTTCTGGAATGTATTCTAGAACTGGATACCCATCATTTCTTCTGGATGACAAATCAGGGTGTGATTTCCACGTCTCAACTAGCGTACTGACTGGAGGAAATGCGCTCAAATGCTGAAAAGTCTGCTCTCTAGCAACAGGTCGTGATAAAGATATTGTGCCTTGAGCTCCAATCCTGTAGTGAAATGACTGTCCACCTGAATTCACACCGACAATGGCAGAGGATGGCAATCTGTTCTCTTGATAATAGCTGCCATCATCAGGCTCCTGTTTAATTCCCACAGGTAGGCCTGGGTTTGGGAACCCACTGCCTTCACAACTGCCATCAAATGATGAAACAGGTGGTCCTAAAATCCCAGAAAGGGTATAATAGTCTTTGTCATCCATAAAAGAAAAGTATGAACCATCTGAAAATGGAAATGGATTTATCATTGGATTCCTTTTAAAGGAGGCACCAGAACAAGAATGTTTAGCCGATTCTTGCTTTACTGGTACTGAAAATGGAGAATCAGAATTGATTTTGCTGTTTTCTCCAATACATGCACTACCAAATGTTCCATCTGGTTCAGGTTTTATAAACTGAGCAAGATTCATCTGACCGTTGTTTGAGATGGCATTCTCTATCTCCTCCATTTTAGGAAATGTGATTTCTTGAGCACCTTTGTCTTTTGTTTCTGGACTAGGAACAGTATCTTGGCCTCTGCTAAGTCCACCGGGGGTACCAGCAGCAGAAAATCCTAGGGAATTGTTTACTGGGCTACAGATAGACGATCCCACAGTGCTAACAGCTGGACTAGAAAGAGTGGACCTGTTATTGGCATTGGAAGGACTGGCAATTGAGCTCCTTGAGTTCATATTTGCAGGACTGGACACAGAAGATCTCATAGTTATATTATTAGGACTTGAGACTGGAGATTTCACACTGCAGTGACTAGGAGGGCTTGAAATTGGTGATTTCATGCTACTTATAGGACTAGAAAGTGGAGACCCCACATTACTAGCATGTGCAGGACTGTGCAACATAGAGCCCCGGTTTTCAATGTTAGGTGAGCATGACAAAGGAGTTCCCTGGTTGATTGGGCTGTTCACTACAAAATTTCCAAAGTTAGTAGTAGTTGAGGACACAGAGTTGATTCCAGCAGGACTACAAACTGAAGAAGTCATGTTTTGAGGACTACAGCCAGGAGGACTTTTCTCTTGACACATTATAGGGCTTTTGATAATAGTGTGCATGACACCACCATTCACAGAACTTCCAGAGTCTGACATCAAAGATCTCAATGGCCTAGTCGCATTGTTTAAGGGAGAGGAACAATGGCCATTTTCCTTGTAGAACTTTACCAGCTGCTCAACATTTTGATATATCTTTCCTGGACTTCCTTGATTTTGTTGATCATAGGTATAATCAGCATCTCGTATGGAATCCATATATAAACCCATGGATTCAGCCACAGTTGCTGAAAGTTCCTTTGAGTCTGACTCAGTTTTGATGTCAGAGGTTAAAATACCAGGCTGATTACTGTCTTGCTGCAGGCAAGCGAGTAGTTCAGGTTTTTCTTTACCATTTCCTTGAGCGTTACTGTTTGGAAAAGCACCAGTAATGCAGCTTACGTTTACAATCTCCATATAATTACTCTCATCAGTCTGCTCCCCAGCACCTAGAGAAGAGTACTCTGCAGATTGAGAAACTTGACTCCACCGTTTCTCCATATCTAAGCCTTCTGGATAACTGTGGTATCCCTTCGTCTCCATAACTAGCAGAAACACATACAAAGAAAGTAAAATGAATAAATGATAGGTATTTTTATAATATTTTATATGCTGCAACACAACAAAGAGAAGATTATAAAAAGGTGTTAAAAGCATTTTTGTATCTAATCTAATATCATAAATGCTGCTTTAAAAAATGTACTAAACATGAAGAACTAGATTTTGATCCCAAACGGTGACAAGCAGGCAAGCAAGATCATGATTACCCGCTGCTTGTGCACCCACATCTGGCAGTTAAAAAAACCTTAGCTGGAGGTGCTGGGGGGAGCAAAAGGCTGAGTGAGTGCCAGATGCTTTCTGCAGAGTAAAAGCGAGTACAGAATTGTTGGGAAGGAACATGCAATAAATGGGGACATGTCTCCCCAGCCCCTCTCTGCCCCTTTCCAGGTAGCTAAATGGAGGAAAGTAAACTGAACTCTAAAAGATACTGTAAGCAAAATACTTCTCACATAGGACAGCTGCAACTCAAGGCTGTGAATAAAATGTACAATCAAGGCCTTTGTTACTTTGGAAATCTAACAGAGAAGAACAAGGTTTTATGGAATTAGTTGTTAGCATTTTTTTTAAATCACATATAAAATCAAATGTCAATGCACATGAGCTTCGCATAAAGAAATCCAATTTGTTTAGCTTTACCAATACATTGACAGATCAGCATTTCATTTTAATGCATAATTCATGTATTAAACAATAAGTAAAGACTTCCTTAAACACTGTAATTAAGCTGGAAAAAATCATTTGAAAGCAGATAGTATGCTTTAAGCTTAAGTTATGATCTTGTATGCTTTGCACAACAAAAAATGCTGCTGGTCATCAATGGACCATTGTTCCATACATCTAGCTGTGTTCACACAAGCTAAAATTTTCAAGCATAAATGCTTAAAACACCTAAATCTGTATTTAAACACCAAAAGAAATGTGCTTTGATTTAAGACATACATCCCCAATTCTCAGTAAAATCAATCACAGTTAAGGGTACTCAGCATTTCTGAGACTCAAGGCACTTATTAGGGCCTTAAATATGGTTTTAGAATGACTTCCAATGTTGGACAGAGGCTCAACACAAGGCCTGAGCTTAAGTCCCGTTTAAGACCTCGCACTTAAATAGTGCATAGGTCTTGTGTTGACCTACACAGAAGTAAACCTTAGCCTACCTGTCAAATCATTGTCAAACTTTTAAAGCTTGTTTGTAAACAATGCTTAGGCCAATCTCTGGCAAATGCCCTAGTCCAGCATCTACAGGAAAAAGATTTCTCTTCAGCAGATACATTCTGGGAGGGACAAGATGCCTGGGAAGGTGCTTTTTATGGCCTCATGTAATTTAACTCTAAATTTATACATAAAATGTACAGCAAAGAGATTCTTTGGTGGAGCTGGTTACTGTCAGCCGGAAGTGTTGCAATAGATTCTGACACTAAGACATCTGTTCAGGGTTGCTGATGGGATAAGAATCCCTTCTCCCCCCTCCCCACCTTCCCTCCAGCCCCTCCACTTGCAAAAACAAAAATCATTAAACCAATCTTTTTACTTTTTATATGCAATTATAATAGCTATTCCTTACATACAACATTTAGTTTTACTGATTCTAGTAAGTGACTCAGGGCTAAAACAAATGCTGATAATAATGATGGAAACTGCATTAGGTGTTAAAAGTACTGCATACTTTTTACATCTGACACTTTATAGAAGACAGCTCTATTATGAATGTACCAGTTCCCAAGGCCCCCAAAAGATATACTTAATAATCAGCATATTTGTCTTAACTGTTACACCAACAAGCATATCACCACATGCAGTCCTTTGCAATCTAAGTCTCCAATCAATCAGGCATGAAACCAGTTTCTCAGCAACCATCAAATAAAAATCAAAGATACCAGATATCCCTGGATGGAAAGGTCACTTAGATACCAGAAAATCAAAACTAAATCTAGTTTTGTGAATTCCAAGATCCACTTGTAAGACTATGTCTAATTTGAAAATGTAATTGTCTTTCTTTTTTTCCTGGTGGCATTGGATTTTTTTTTAATTTCATTTATCTTTGAGCCACTTTGATGAATCAAAAGTAATGCTACCCAGGAGACCCAAGTTTCAACCTTGAAACTGACTTTGTCTTCCCCGGAGCACTACTTACAATGATTTTGATTATGCTCACACCGATGCCTGAAAATCTAAAGTGCAAAATCAAGGACATGAGGCCACACTTCCCTCAGTTACTCCTGCCTATTCCCTGGTACTTTTCTAGGGCTAAACAGTATAACTGAAAAGCAGAATATAGTCCCCCTCTTTTGCATAATTCCCCATACCCTATAGGATATTGTGCATGTGAAACAAGAATGGAATGTGCCCTTCAAGAGAGAAAAAAATAGATATATTTATTTCTCCAGTTGTCCTAAAACATGGAGCATCACACTGGATTTTCAGGGGAAAGCATCTTAACTGTTTTAAAATCTCTACTTCTAACTTTCCTATATTTACTTTTTTATTCCTTAAATTAGTTTACATTTTAAGACACTTAAATTCAGGTATTCAAATCTTTCATTTGTACATTTGCATTTCGGATCAGCTTAAAAAGAAATGTTTGCTTTGAAAACAGGACTATTACATATTATATAGAATCTATATACTTCTGGCTGATTCTTATTTGCCAAGTTTTGTGTGTTAAACGTCAAAGATATACTTGCTTAATTTAAGGTGTTCCCCCTGTAAAGTCTCTCACTCATCTTTCAGTGACCAAACGCTTAATTTATAACTTGTCAGTCAATTTTGTAAGAATATTCTGTGATGGCATAAGCTAAGACAAAAACAGGGAGAAAAAGCTCTTACACAAATACCATTGCAATTGCCAGCACGCTATACAAATATGAAACTTGCAAGTAAAATACCTTGTTTTATGTTTAAAAACATAATTCAGACTCATGCTTATGCTCCCTACACACTAAGAAAGGGTTTTTAAACTTTATTTTTTTTCATTAAAAAAATAAGTGTTCTCTAGCGGGCTATAAATGTAAACAGGGTGAACTAAATTTTAGAGACGTAATTTAGGGAATGAAAATGTTTTGTTACACTAACGGAACTGCAGAATAGGGTTGAAAAACAGGCCAAGAAAGGACTATAAGGAAGGCCACAGTCCTCTTGGACTGACCTTACAAAACAAAATGATGCCTGAGAAATCAAGGGACATATTTTGTGGATATTTGTAACCAAAATCAAATAACCACGAAATACAGGTAACAAACTGACTGTCTTGCTGATTTCTTCTTATACAAAACCACATTTGGCAGATCATTACATATACCAGCGATCCTCACCCAGGGTGCCTTGAGATCCCTTCAAGGGTGCTGCAGAGTGCTGCACAACAGCAGCAATATTCGGTGTGGAAACATGATTCCCAAATAAACCTAAAGTTTTCACATGTCACTGAAAACATTCACACCTGCTCCGGTCTGAGTTTTCTGCAACAGAAGACTTGTCTCCTACTTTTCTGTCGTCAAAAAAAAAACCAAGAGCTGGCATTTTCTGAGTGAGCAACCGGTCTCCTGAGGGGTACCCCATGCCTGAGAACCCCTGGCTTGCCCACTCTTTAATCTGCCTTGCTTCCACTCGCGCCTGGAAGATTTAAGACAGCAAATGTGACACTGCAAGGTAATGCAAG